AGATACAAATGGATTTTTCGTGTTGCTTTCCATTTTCCAAAGCAGGAACAATTAGAGAATATAAATATCAGTTATTATAGTATACATGCATAGAGGTAGTTGCAAATTCTTGAGCATTTACACAAGCGAAAGTGAAGTAAACAGAGCAGAGCAACCAGTTTCCTTACAGGCTGAAAATGACGACGAGGGTAAGTATTTGGAGCGTCAGCTGGTTCCTGGAGTCCACGAACTATATTTGTAGGTCGGGCTCGTAATTACCTTCCATCAACATACCTTATTTGTTTGTTTTGATTAAATTGAAAACTGCAGCTCATGAAATATATGAAGTGCAGCTATGCAGGATTTACCCGGAGGCTCATCTGGGAATCACTCCCTAGCTCTCAAACTACCACTACCTCAACCTCATTCATTTAACAAAAATGAAATATGGAACATATTTTAAATAGTAGTTAGTCCATGCTACTAAATGCTAATTTATACTTGTATATTACTAAATCCTTCCAGCCGCACTATGATCTTGGGGTGGACTCAGCCTCTAACAGAAATGAGTACTAGGAATGTTTCTGGGGGTAAAGGACGGCCGGGGCCTAAGGCTCCAAACCTCACCGCCATCTGTGAGCCGATCGTCTAGAAAATGTGGAAACTTCAATATCTCACAACCCTATGGTCCTCCACGGCCTGTTACAGGGATAACTTTACCTTTTTTACTTTTATAATTTAAATATATTAACGAAATTATTCCATTGAATTTTTGAGATACTACATGAACATTCCCTACAGAAGGGACAATATTTTGTAAGATGAGGCACCGACTAAATAGTAAGTAATTAATACACTGTATCTTCAATATCACTATTACTCTCACATCATTTTCAGATTAACATTAATATCACTACATCTACGTCACGAGCCTCCAAAACACAACAAAATCACAAAAACCAACGACTGACTCGATGATGTAAAGCATCACTTGAAGAATTTTATTCTTGTTTTGTACTATAACTTTTGTTTTTGTTTTTTTTTTCCTTGGTACTACAGCCCCAGTGGGCCTAGGCCTACCTCCATGAACTTCTCCGTTCACTTGGGTTTTTCTAGATCTTACACATTCGGTAGGACTCCTTGGACGGGTGAGCAGCTCGTCGCAAGGCCTCTACCTGTAGACAAACACAGAAAAACGCACATAAACATCCATGCCATGAGTGGGATTCGAACCCACGATCCCGGCTTCCGAGCGAGCGAAGACAGTGCATGCCTTAGACTGCTCGGCTACCGTGACCGGCCAACTTTTGTTTTATATAGTCTAATTTATATTATTTTTACGCCAAGTATTTTAATATAATTAATATTATTGTAACGAATTTTACTAGTACTGCAGTTCAGTGGTGTATATATGTTAGCCATGTATTTGCCTGATGATGGCTTTTAGTACCCGAAACATGTAGTAGAGCCAAACTTGGCACTGGCCTTAATACATATAGTTGTGTTGTGACGGTTTCTGATAAAGGAATTCTACATGAACACGTCACAATATTAAACTAGACTAGATAATTGTTGTTCCTCATTATTACAATACTGATTGACTCCATGGGGATCCATGCGCTGTCCACGCGACACCCTCTAACCGCTAAAGTTGGCACTAACTTCGCCGACAAGCGGCGGTCGCGTGGTCGGTATAGTTCGCTTGCGGACTACAGACCACGGAGTTTTTTTTTTTTGATTCGATACTAATTATATGACTGACTTGCTACAGTAAACCATGGAATTAAGAGGCGAAGAATTGGATCTTCCATGAAACATAAATTTAAAGTAAATTTATATTAAACCGACAGTCGAAAGAACATGTTCACAAAGTCAATATGAATTAGTGGTAATGTATAGGCTCTGGGCATAATATGTTTCTTCATTGCATGAATACGATATAAGCGACACATAACAAAGCAGAACTTATTTACAGACACTTAGAATTAATAACTGTTTTTAATATCTGGTTTTATTATGAAATTTAGTGGTTTTAATTAAAATAAATAGGTATGTTCAAAATAAAAAAGGTGTATTTTTCTCAGATAAATTTTTAATATACTGTTAATACATAATGCATAAAATTACAGTGCAGCGGAGCTATCCTACTTGTCATATTTTACACCAGAAACTTCTCAATAGATTTCGAATAAATTTGGTATAAGAAATCCACATTAAAATTGTCAGGTGATTTAGATCTTTGCTGTCATATTCTAAGTGGAACACTAAGTATGAACACAATTTTGATTTTCATGAAGTAAAATGTTTTCTGACAAGTTTAATAACTGGAGCCGGGATAACGTATTCGGTATAGCAACTAGTTACGGGCTGGACGACCGAGGTGTCGGAGTTCGAGTCCCGGTGGTGTCAAGAATTTTCTCTTCTGCACGTCGCCCAGACAGGCTTTGGACTCCACCCAACTTCCTATCCAATGTAAATGAGGGTAAAGCGGCCGGGTCGTGAAGCTGACCACTCACCCCCAGCTAGTATCGAAGTCAAGAAAATGTGGATCTATACATCCACTCCCCCACACGCCTTCATGTCGTAGTGTTCAATTAGTTAAGCACAGGGACAACTTTACCTTGCCTCATGAAGACGGTATACTGCGCCCTATAACCAGATAGTGTATATTCATATCGACAGAGCCCGCAAAACGGGACTAGTTAGTTAGTTAGTTATTGGAGAGGGTGAGTTTCCCCATGCACTGAGACCTGTATTGGTCCATTGTGCTTCCCTCTATGATTTCTTCCAGTCTCTATATCCTACCGGTATTGGTGCTTACCATAAGTCCCGCCCAGCCAGCGAGGCCGGCTCTACTAGCTCAGCGGTATCTATAATGCTTTCCCCATCTACCAGAGGTATTAGAGACTGCTGTTGGGCGGGAAACGTCCGTTAATTTGGCTCAGTGACCTCCTTTGGAGATATGAGGTTCTTTTACGTGCCGTAAAGCTACGACACGGGACCCACGGCTTAAAGTCCCTCCCGGAGGACTTGTTCCCTGAATTTTTCCGCCCTTAAAAATTCGACGACCTCCGCCGGGTATTTGAACCCGCGTACTACGAGTCATGAGGTGGGAACGTTACCTCTAGACTACGGAGGCCGCTAAAACGGGGCTAACGGCCCTGAGCAAACATGGAACTCCAGTGAGGAAATTTCTGACACGAGTTACATGAAATAGGGCATTCACTTACATTATGAATTTCCTAGCCAATTCTGGAACATTAGGAATGTTTTGTGTACTCTGTTTACACTTTCTTGTCTGCGTCTCCGCCACTCTGTGTCGCCTCTCTCAGTACTGTCACGCAGAGGTCAAAGTCCAAGCTCTGTCCGCGAGCCTCCACTTTCTGGCCGTTGAAGTGTGCGGAACATTTAGTGAGCCCTTGATATTCAGATATTTGCAAACACACACATGCACTGCCATCTAGTGTTTCCTTGCTTATCTTCTGAAAGAGGGGGAGTCGGGAGAGCTCAGTTGGTATAGCGACGGCCTAGACTGCCGGGTTTCGAATCCCAGCGGAGGCAGGATTATTCTCTTTTCCATAACATCCGGACCGACTCTGCGGACCACCTAGCCTCCTAACCAAAGGGTAGCGGGGGCAATTTCCACGGGCGTAAAACGGCCGGTGCGTGAAACTGATCTCTCAGCTCCATCTAATACCGAGGTCAAGAATAGTGGAACTATACCTCCACTCCCCCATATGGCTTCATGGCACAGTGCTTAATTACGTAAGCGCAGGAACGACATTTTTGTTTTCTGAATGAAATATCACAATTGTGCTTGGATTCGAACACATAGGCAATGTCATTTGTAAGTTGGAAATTTCTCATAACACCACTGGAAAATAAATTTGAATCTGCAACCAGAGAGAGAAATGAAGGATAATTACATTCATCATCAGAATTGTGTTTTATGAATTAATGAGGACGTTGTTCGGACGTAGTACCACAGGAAGGAGATAATTAGCACTAATTAGTCGCTTTATGTTTTTTTTTCTGTTGCGCTGCAGCCCCAATTTGGGCCTAGGCCTACCTCCATCAAACTCTCCGTTTCACTTCGGTTTTACTAGATCTTACACATACGGTAGGACTCCTTGGGCGAGTGATCAGCTCGTCGCAAGGCCTCTACCTGTAAACAAACACAGAAAAACGCACACAAACATCCATGCCCTGAGTGGGATTCGAACCCACGATCCCGGCTTCCGAGCGAGCGAAGACAGTGCATGCCTTAGACCGCTCGGCTACCGTGACCGGCCGCTTTATGTTTAAGTGCGTTAACTTTTCCTTTCCGTTTTTCACTGTTTTCAACCCTGAAGCCATCAGCGATAGCTTTGTTATCGTGGAAGTGGAAATGCGATTTTTGGTTTAGATAGAGTTCACTGACGGAACACGTAGGGACAGACTATTTACACAGCGTTCTGAGAAGGTGTAGTTGTATAGGGAGGGACTACAAAAAAAAAAAACCTCCGTGGTTTTAGTCCCCAAGCGAACTATACCGACCGAGCCACCACCGACGAAGTTAGTGTCAACTTTTGCGGACAGAGGGTGTCGCGTGGTCAGCGCAACGGAATTCCCACTGCCGTTAATTTCGGTTTTCTAGACCGGAGCCGCTGTTTCCTTGAAATACCTCCTCAATTATCATCACGAGGCTGAGTGGACCCCGTTCGAGACCCACTACTTCTCAGAAAATCTGGTAGCGCCGGGAATCGAACCCGGATCTCTGGATCTGTAGGCAGGAACTCTGACCATTAGACCGCCTGCCAGTGGAAATTGATTGTATGTGTGTGTCTGATAATTGCTACTCTTCCTTGACCTATAGATGTTACATAAAATTTGAAACACACATTTCGTGTATCAAGCGATTCAGTATTCAAAGACATCTAACGTGACGCCATACTGAAAGCCTATCTGAGGCAATGATGATAAGGAAAGCAAACGGCGAAATGTCGGGGAACGAAGAAGCATCAGTACACGAATGGCTTTAATCGTAATTCGACATGGTGTTCGTGGTGATTGTGTTTGTGTTGTTACACTTCACTGTAAAGCAGGTGGCGGCAGAAGAGGTCCAGTGCCCCGGTGTGTGTCAATGTCAAAATGAGACAGTGGCCTTATGTCGAGATCGGAAAATTTCTTCAATTAATATTGCAAGAGAAGGACGTTTAGGAAGTGTTGTAAAGGCGCTTGACTTCTCTGGAAACAAACTGTGTTCGTTATCTGATAAAATGTTCTCCGTCTGCGACGTCTTGCTTTTGCAGTATCTTAACCTATCTAGTAACCATATTACATACATAGGGAAATTTTCATTCACTGGACTTACAGAACTTGAGGACCTGGATCTGTCGAGAAATAACATATCTTCAATTGACGGAGAGGCATTTTATGCTAATTTGAAACTTTCAATTGTGCGGCTCGCGAATAACCGATTGACTGAAATAAACGAAACCGTTTTCAGCCCACTGATCCGTCTTAAGTATTTGGATTTGTCGAATAATAAGATATCTTCAATTCAAAAGGAAATGTTTCACAGCAATACAGATCTTGAGTGGTTGAGCTTGACCAACAACAGTTTAACTGCAATTGATCCCTCGACCTTCCAGCAACAGAGCAACCTTACGTATCTAGATCTGTCAGGGAACAAGATTACGCAAATTAAAAGAGGAATGTTTTATAACAACATGGAACTTGAATCACTGCTCTTAGGTGACAATAAAATTTCCGAACTTCACCCATCGGCATTTCATGCAGATTGTGGGCTTTCTTACTTAGATGTTTCAGGAAACCTAATAGAGAAACTTGAGAATTTAACATTTTATAGGTTGAAATTTCTGTCCATTTCAAGAAATAAATTGCAACGCCTTCACTCACGAAGCTTTTGTAACTGCAGTGAACTACGTAATCTGTCCCTGTCTGACAACGACATTTCCGAAATTAATGATGAAGCATTTTATGGTCTCTGGCAGCTGGAATACTTAGATTTGTCTAGTAACAATATTAAGAACATCAGCCTATCTATTTTCCAGGGTATGGTATTGCAGATGGAAGGAAACATGACTAAAAGCGACTCTATGTCCAACCTTACCTATTTGAAACTATCTAAGAATAAAATACATTATTTTCCTTTTAAAGAATATCTTTCTTTAACCGACTCATGTCATACTTCCACGAAATTATGTAAATTGGACTTGAACGGAAACTGTTTATCAGTTTTAGATGATGAATCAGTGAATGTTCTGGGGAATTCGACAGTCCTGACAGAGCTTTCAGACAATCCATGGTCTTGTAATTGTTCAGAAGATTCCTCAGAGAGAGTCTATAGAATGTTAAGTGGTAACAGGACATTAAAGTGTGCGACTCCAGAATACTCGAAAGGGAAGAGTTGCAGTGGCGTGAAGCATACTTGTCTTAGCACCACTTCTACACCGGGAACTGATAGTTCTGTTGAGACTGAAGCGGATGAAAATTTGGAAGAAAATGAAGACGAAAATCCAAAACTTTTAACAAACCCTGAATCGGAAACATTCCCAACAAAAATTCTACTATTTGTAATTTATGTAATCTCAATGCTTGTAGCAATTGTTATAGTCCTCGTTATTTCCCGCGCTGTTGGTAAGCCTGAACCGGACGAGTATTGGTGGGAGGATAAATTAGCGAAACGGAATTATTATTGACAACTGTGTTCAGTTAATTGTATTTTGTTTTGCTGCAAAGCTTCTGTTTGTGGATTACGAGGTGTTGCAATATAATAATTGATGTGGTGCTTTTGCACAGGAAGTGTCAACCCTGGTAGTCTTTTCAGATTGGTTCGCATGTCTAGCCAATTTAGAAGTTGTATTTGAAACGGTCATTATAATTTGATTTGATTTGTCGTTTGAAAGTATTTTATTGAACCATATTCCTTTTGTCAAAATACGAGGAGTAAATAAATTCCTTTGTGCCTGTCCACATGATTCCTGGAAATATAGGAACTGCTCAGGGGGTGGGGTGGAAGGAGACGTGCTCTGAACCAACATTATCTATTGAGAGTTTTCATATTTATGGGTCAATAAAAACTGGTTTTGATTATATACTTGAGCAAGAAAGGAATATGGAATGTTTAATGTCTAGCATACATTTTAACAAATAAATTTATGTTAATTTAAAAGTAATCATTTTAACAGTTAGCCGGGATACCTCAGTCGGTATAGCAACTGGCTAGGAACTGGACGACTGAGGGGTCGGAGTTGTGTCCCGGTGGAGGCAACAATTTTCACTCATCCACGTCTTCCAAACCGGCTCTGGGCGTCTACCTAACCTCCTATCCAGTGTGTACCGGGAGCTTTTTCTCCCGGGGTAAAGCGGCAGGGGCTTGAAACTAACCACTTACCTCCAGCTAGCGCCGAGGTCAGGAAAATGTGGTTCTATAGATCCACTCCCCCGTACACCTTCGTGGCGTAGTGCTTAATTAATTAAGCACAGGAACAACTTTACCTTTTTACCTCTGAAGAAACTTATGCTGCTAGGAGAATATCAAGAAAAGGCTTTACTAAAATTTGTAGAGCAATTGTGTATGTTGTTTTCCTCGTACACGGAGCGGAATGTTGAGTATGAACAAGGAAGTTTGCCTGAAGTTGAAACCGAAGTGCAGAAAATGCTAAGAATATGATGAGAAGATGGAAAGAATTTCTTTAATGTTCGTAACCTGAACGGTTCAAAACTAACATCTTCGAGCGTCCATGACAGGCTATTTGCGGAGGGAACGAATCTTGGTTTTGCAATGTGATCACGCCTCCCCACACGGTATTTTCGACTAAGTGATTATTAGATTCTAAAGGGTTCTAACGATGGTGGATAACACACAGGATTACTGTTTTTTTTTTTACTTTTTCCATCGCCCGGGATTCTAGTAAACAGAAAACACGATTTAAGTTTTGAGGTTTCCACGGCGATGACTATGAAGAAAGTCGTCTTCTGGGTTTAGGCGCCGTGTATTCTTCGTTTTGGCCGACGTTTCGGAGGAACGTATCGCCTCCCATCTTCAGAGCAGGTGAATGGCTTGGAATGCAGAGAGCAGTAGCTACAGCCAAAACGAAGAATACACGGCGTCTAAACCCAGAAGACGACTTTCTTCAGAAAACACGATGTTTCGGAAAGTGGATCTGTTTCCGTCTTCAGGTGAGGAGGGAAGACACCTACTAAGTTGGGCCCCTTAGAAAGGGACAGGAGTTGTCCAGTGATTGAGATTAGCTATTTCTAGGGGGCCAAACCGAGTACGTGTCTTTCTTCCTCACCTGAAGACGGAAACAGATCAAGTTTCCGAAACGTCATATTTTCTATTTCCTAGAATTCCCGACGATGGAAAAAAGTCCCAAAACCCAGTAATTCTGTAAGTGATTACTGTTGAGAAGGAAAGGCCATTCTAACTTGATGTATTCCCGATTGCACTGCTCTTGTTACCCAGACAAAAATGTTCATGAAAAGTGGTATTTGTATTCACTTGGCGATATTCACATCAGCGCGCCAACTGTTGTGTTTACAGAAATATTTTTTTGGAAAGTCACACCGAGCCATGTTTGTAAGCATGACAGCGGCATATGGATGCAGATGCAAGAAGGTGACGAAATTTGAAGGTGGCCACACTGAATTTGCAAAAAATGCACATGGGAAAAAAATCAATTATAATTTATTTCCGTTCAAACTTAACAGCCCAGGAGCCAATTATAAAGTTAGCACGAGTAAGAGAACGAAGCAACAACAAAACATTCACAAACAAAATACGAAACAAGGCAGTTTACATAATAATAATAATAATAATAATAATTCAATTCATGTATAATAATAATAATAATAATAATAATAATAATAATAATAATGGGGAACGCCGTAGCGTAGGTGGTTGAGGCACCATGCTACAAGCCGGAATGGCGCGGGCTCGATTCCCGATGAGGTCATTGGATTTTTCAGTTGACCTAATCTTTTCGGCCGCACTATAATCCTGTGGTCGACTCAGCCTCTAACAGAAATGAGTACCAGGAATCTTCCTGTGGCAAAGGGCGGTCGGAGCGTAAGGCTGGTAACTTCACCGCCATCTGTGAGCCGATTGCCTAGAAAATGTGGCAACCTCGACGGTTAGTGACGATATATATATATATATATATTTCATAAATAAAGTCGGATTATTTGTCAGACTCTCATAATAATAAGAAATATAATTAATTAAAGATCATTTAATTTCATTATTATTTTTTCGTAATAGACATCAAAAATTTCCTGTTCCTCGAATGGGACATCGCCGAAGGAGCACGGCACACGCTAAACTGATCAACGTTTTTGTGCTTTCCATGTCGTCCTATTTTTATTTAAAATATGTTTTCGGAGGCTGGACTCTGTCTTCGACCTCAGGTAAAATGCCTACTCGTCTCAAGCTATAGAACTAGTCCGTATCTTCGGTCACCTTGAACCAACGTAAGTGACAATATATAAGTCGGACGCAACAGAGACCATCTGCGGGAGTTAAGGCAAGCATGTTTCAAAATGCCTCATTCATGCGACTTTGCAGGTATGGCCATGCATAATATAACGACTTGAGTCCGACTGATACAGAGCCTATAGCGTTTGAGTCAAATTCAGACACAATGACAGGTACTACAAAATCAGAAATTGTAAATATTGTACCGAAATTTAAAGTCGTATATGACGCAAAATATATATGTAGACCCGACAACTATAGAGGACTAACATGCATGCAGGTGAAATATCCCTCTTACCAACGAGTACCTAACAGGATATAAACCAATACCAGTAAGTACGAAATTACGCGAAACAACTGTGTAAATCAGCATAAAAGCGGAACACTCCCATGTAATTTACAAGGGACGGAATTGCAATTTTCTAACTCCATCTTCAATTATAACCTAAAGTGCTGCTAATTTCGAACGAGTTTTAAGAGAGTAAGAACTGTGGTATAACATGAACAAATTATACTTAATTTCTTTATTGTCTGCATCCTGTTGTGTGTTACGGTTAGTAGCAAATAACATCCAAAAACTTATAAATAATTAAAAGACACAAAAAGAAAGGCGAGCAACAACCCCCCCCCAAAAAAAAAACTAGAATCACAGAAACGACACTTTATAAACAACATAAAGACGAAAAAAACCCAAACCAATTAATCATAACCAAGGCCGATAAAGGCAACATCCTAATAATATTGCCCATGAAGGTTATAGTAACAAAATAGAATTCATAACCCAAAGCAACTTCGAAAAGTTACTACACGATATCAGAAATAAACAACAAAAAAACAAAAGGGTAACATTAGAAAAAGTAATAACATAATAAACAGGAACAACAAATGAAAATACACGATGTGTCCAGGATTCGTTATGACTCTTTTTTTTTTTTCCCTGCAATGCCATCCGTTGGCGAGTTGTGGCGTTAAGGTTCTTGAAGTTTCAGCTGTGGCTGTCTATAATTTCAAAGAGCAAGCATCGCTGCATCATGTGTTCTGACCTTGAATGTAACAGTACTGTTCTGACGCTCGTCGGAAAATGGCGGTTGAACAGAGAGCCAACATCAAATTTTGTTTGAAGTTAGGCAAAACACCCGGAGATGCTTACGAAATGATGAAAAGTGTGTACGGTAGTGATCGAGTCGGTCGAACATTTTTCGATGGTATGCTGTATTTCGTGACGGCAGGGAGGATATTGAAGACGCTCCAATTGCATCAAAGCCGAGAACAAGTCGCACTGAAGAAAATGTGAAAAAGTGACCGAAATCCTTGCATCAGACAGATGTGTTTCTGCAACACTGATCGAGGAGCTTTTGGGAATACCAAGAAGTACTAGGCATCAAATTTTGGCCGAGGGTTTTGTCAAACTGAAGGTCTGTGCGCGGCACGCCCTGTCAGGCGATGAAAAACATGCCAGAGTGGAACACTGCAAAGACATGTTACGGTCGACCCAGAGTGATATAAAATTTAAAAAATAGATTGTTACTGGTGACGGGACATAGTGTTTTCAATATGAGCCTCTCACAAAGCGGCAGACTGCAGCGTGGTTTAGCCCAAAGAAGCCGAAACCAAAGAAAGTGCGCATACAAAAGAGTCTAGTAAAGACACTGCTAACAGTTTTCTTTGATTCCAAAGGAATCATTCACATGGAATTTCTTCCAGAAGGTCAAACAGTGAATTCTGATTATTATCTCGGAGTCCTAAATCGTTTGTGGGTGAGAATTCTTCGAATTAGACCTGAATATCTAGAGCACGTTTCCTGGTCGCTCCTCCACGAGAATGCCCCACCCCACCAATCGAAGATCGTGAGCGATTTTATGCCCAGAAAGGGGGATCACAGTCCTTGATTATCCTCCGTGTTGGCCAGATTTGGCTCCAGCAGATTTCTGGTTGTTCCCAAAACTTAAGTTGGCGATGAAAGGAGACCGTCACGACACCATCCAGGACATCCAAAGGGAGTCTACAGCAGTTTTATGCGATTCCACAAAAGGAGTACAGTAACTGTTTTTGAAAACTTTTCAATCGATTCCAGCTATGTATTGATTCAGATGGAGACTATTTTGAATAAAAAGAGTGAATTTTTGAAAATAAATAACGTCTTGCATTTTTAATGAACACAGTCCTAACAGAACCTGGGCACACTGTGCACATCAACGTGAACCCGAGAGCTCCACATATACAGAGTATCCATAAATCTACATCAGCAGCAAAAACAAGTCCGTCCATTTCACAACTAGAAAGACAGCCCTGGGTAAAAACTAACAGAAGACATAACCACACAATTAAGTAATACATTACAACTATCCAACATATATATTATCCAAAATTCTACTAGCCTCAATCATAA